CAGATAGGGGTGCTCCTTATCTTCCTTTGTACAGACAGCTGAAATAAAGCACTGTGTCAATCTGCTATTTCAGAAATTTTTTTAAAAAATGGTGGTTAGAAAAGGTTTTATTGGAAAACAGTCTGCAAGTTTCTCAAAAAGTAAAAAATAAAATAAAATAGTTACCATATGACCCAGCAATTCCACTCGTAGGTATTTACCAAAGAGAAATGAAAACATATGTCCACATAAAACTTATACATGGATGTTCACAACAACATTATTCATAGAAGCCAAAAAGTAGAAACAACACAAATGTTCATCAACAGATGAATGGAGAAACAAAAGGTGGTATAGCCACACAATGGAATATTATTTGGCCATAAAAAAGAACTAAGTGCTAATACATGCTACAACATAGATGGACCATGAAAACTTTATGTTAAGTGAAAATAGCTAGTCACAAAAGACCACATATTATATTATTTCATTTATAGGAAATATCTGGAATAGACGAATCTAAAGGGGCAGAAAGTAAATTAGTAGTTGTCTAGGGTTGTAGGTGAGGGATTGGAATAATGAGTGACTGTTAATTGGTTCACAAAGTGTGGGATTCTGTAGAATATTAAAGAGCAGAAATCACAAAAGCTATAAAAATACAGACTTCAGAGTGTCTGAGCTTTATGAGCAGAAGATAAAAGGGAGAGACCTAAGATAAAAGGGAGTGATCAATCCAGGTTGTACCAACACAGGATATAGAAAAGAATTACAGGATGACATAGACTTCCAGGTGAGAGTATAAGAATATCTAGACCAAAACCAGGAGAAAGAAGAGAATCAAGCCTTGTGAGTTTTCATCGAAACCTTTGAAAGGAGGGATTGGTGGTTAACAGATGAATTCTAGCGTGAACCATCTTATATGTGTTTATACTTCTTAAATTCTACTATAATCGGTCAAAATAGAATTGGGGATGGAGAGAGGCAAAGGTGGGAGGGAGAAAGAGAGAGAGAGAGAGAGAGAGAGAGAGAGAGAGAGATAATAATTTAGATTCAGGTGTTGCCCTTGTGATAAAATGCAAAAAGTTAAATAAATAAATAAATAAATAAATAAATAAATAATGGCTGCAATAGTTTGCAGCTTCTCCCATAAAGAGTAAGAGTATTTTCTCCATCTCCTGATTTGGCCATGTGACTTGCTTTGATCAGTGAATCATCAGCAAATGCGATGCTCGAAGAGGCTGGAAAAGTGCTTATGCACTGGGATTCATCTTCACTATTGTTGATTTTAGAACTCAGCCGCCACGTGAAGAAACCTGAGCAAGCTTGCCAGATACTGGAGACATATGCCCCAGTTGCCCTGTTGCTCTAGTCAAGTGACGGATATGTCTAACCCCAAAGCCCATATTCATAATCAAAGCATCACCATCACCACCACCATCATCATCATTATAGCATCTACTCTTATTATTATTCATGTAGTATATACTCTCTCTCAACATGTTAAGGGTTGGAAAGAGAAAAGAGCACATCACAATTAGAGTCTGAAAACTAACCAATGCTTTTCTCTATAATGGGGCTTTGGTAAAGGTATATATCTTCTTTGAACCTCAGTTTCCTCAAGTGGGAATTAGACCTAACCATAGGATTCCTGGGAAAAATAAAAACATGGAAAAGTTATCTCTTTAAAAAAAAAAGATTTCAGAGAGGAAGAGAGAGGGAAAGAGATAGAAACATCAATGATGAGAGAGAATCATTGATTGTCTACCTCCTGCACGCCTCCCTCATCCCACACCCTCCACTGGAGATCAAGCCCGCAACCTGGGCATGTGCCCTGACCAGGAATTGATCTGTGACCTCCTGGCACATAGGTCAATGCTCAACCACTGAGCCATGATGGCCAGGCAAAAAGTTCTCTTGACTTTTTTTTAAAAAAAAGGGCTTTCTTGACTTAAAGTGATATATATTTGCAATTAATAAAGGGGATATGTTTTAAGCAAGCTCACCAGAAAAGTTTCTAAAGAATCTAACTTTAGCCCTAACCGGTTTGGCAGAGTGGATAGAGCGTCGGCCTGCGGACTGAAGGGTCCCAGGTTCAATTCCAGTCAAGGGCATGTACCTTGGTTGCAGGCACATCCTCAGTAGGGGGCATGCAGGAGGCAGCTGATCGATGTTTCTCTCTCATCGATGTTTCTAACTCTCTATCCTTCTCCCTTCCTCTCTGTAAAAAAAAACACAATAAAATATATTTGGAAAAAAGAAGAACCTAACTTTAACAATCCCTTAAAAATCAAGTAAAATATATTTGTTCTTCATAAAAGAAATTGTTACTTTTCCACCTTGTCTGTAGTGTCACAGAATAAGATGTTAAAGTTAAAATGCCATAAAAACTACATAGTGTTTCCGACTCTTTCAAAACTGTTCAACTACTAGGGTTGGGAGAGGAAAGTATGTGCTTTCTCAGCCTTTGAAATGCTTCCCGATTCTGTCATCTTCTTTTCATCTCAACATCAAAGTTGGGAAAAGCTCTTCCCCACCAAGGACAGGTGTATACATGCCACTCACTGAGGCACTTTGCTGCCCCATTAATCTGCCTCTTTTTCTATTTACATCTTGAGAATCAAGCATCAGCCTTTTATTTCTCTTAGCTTTTTGCTGACCTGCACTCTCTCAGCTGGCAAGCTGTTGACACATTTTGACAGGTGATTTGGCTCATAAAAACAGCCAACGAAAGGAATCAGGGAGAAGGGGCTTCACCAGAAGCATGATCAGTGTATATGAAGTGCTGAAAATGGCGGAAACACACAAACACATATTTATTAGCTGGTTAAGAAAAAATAAGGGCGTTCCTTGCTTTCTGGATGACCTAACTCCCAACTCCCAGGGTCTTGTAACCAAGAGAAGTCAAAACACAGGGTATGGGAAAAATATGTGTTTGGGACATTCAAAAAATTCAAATTCAGCAAATAGGTGAATTTGAAAATTTTAAAATTTCCAAGTATTTACACTGTTCATGTACATGACATTTTTAATGGGAATGTTAGGTAACTCAAACCACCAAGAAATTCTGCTACCCTCACAGAGGCCTCTGGTGAACAGTGTATGAAAGTCAAGGAAAGGAGAAAATTCCCCAGTTGGCTCAAATAAAAAGATAAGCATGGAACAGACTGTGGAATTTCAGAGGGAAGGTGGGGGAGGGTGGGTAAGTGGGAAGAGATCAACCAAAGAACTTGTACGCATATATGCATAACCCATGGACACAGACAATAGGGTGGTGAAGGGTAGTGGGGATGGGGGCGGGACTAGAAGAGGTCAATGGAGGGGGGGGGGGGCGGGCAAGGGGATATATGTAATACTTTCAACAATAAAGATTTTAAAAAAATAAAAAGCAAAAATAAACTCACAGGCACAAGACAAAGTAGAGAACAATATTCAGAGAAGGCAGGGTTTCAAAACTAGAGGAGACCACCAGATCATACCCCTAAGAAATTTGCAGAAATTTTGAGGAGGACAAGCAACATTTAATGGGGTGTGAAATGGGAGTCCTGCCAGTGTATCTAGTTCTTAAGGGGTCAGACAGCCCAGCTGACACCTGTCTCACCCATTAACAGCCTCCCTATTTTAGTTCCCAACCTGTGCATTCTTGGGGGTCTTGCATTCATATAGGTCCTCCTGTTCTTAAGAGTCATAGCATCTTTTCATGGATGGCTCAATTGGATTCAACGTCTTTTGGCTTGTTCTGATTTGCAAGTTCATATATGGAACAGTCATGAACACATGTGTATGTTTCATTTTCCTTACCAGTTTTCCCAATTAGATTGACCATCTAAAAGATTGCTTTCCCACTCTCCCCTTTGTTAGGATTTAGCTCTTTCTCTACCCCTTAGCTTACCCACAAGTTCTAGTTTGTCTGGAATCTCACATACCCCCTAGGAAAAGAAATACTACCACATCCAAAAGGTGTAAAGGTCCCAAGGATAACTTGATCTGGCAAGTCACTGAATATGTTGGTGTACATGCCACCCCAAGAGAGGGCAGAATAGCTTTGACAGACAGCTACACGGCCAGACGGATAGATAAAATCAAGGTTAAGGAACTGATATTGATAAAACACACAATAATGATAATAATAATTCTTATATAGAATGCCATTAATTCTTAGCCAATTATTTCAATTAGCTATTTACAGATAACACAACAGAAGTCCAGAGAGGGTGACTCAATTTCCCATAGTCACTGAGCATGATAGTGCCAGGCTAGCACACCGGTTCCCTGACTCCCAGTTGCATGTTCCTACCATACACTCAATTACCTGCACCCTCATTTTAGCCCTGAATTCTTTGAAATCAACCATGTGAGTAACAACAGGTAAGTCTGGTCAGACTGGTCCAGTTAATGGCAAAGTTGCTGAAAACCAGAGTTGCCCGTTGGTACCCAGCATTGCAGGGTGTGGTCATTCCAGCACACAACAGGAGGACAGGATCTCCCCACCAATGTCTATGCACAGACAGGAGCAAAGGAAGGCTAAGGGATAATTGCGGATATGTGAACAATTTAAAAAACCTAGCTGTACCAACCTCTATAAAACTATGACGGACTCTTGAGGTCTATTTTATTTTGGATTTGTAAGAACTTATTACAAATGCCCTCTTCTCTTTAAATTGGATTTTCTAGATGCTAAATCCCCATGTCATCCTCTCTACTAATCAGAAAATGCAAGGAAAACTCATTTTCTCAGAACCACATGAACACTCAGGTGCTTAACAAAAAGTCTGGTTATAACCAGAGGTTTTCTTAAATAGAAGTAAAGTTTGTGAACTGGAGAATTTGTCTCAACCTCTTTGACTTCTGCTCCCCCAGCATGAGGGAATGCGGACTCCTGGGAGAAAGGGACTGAATAAGCACAAGACATCAGACGTCCTTTTTGGAAATTTCTGATGATACAGAAACACCCCACCTGTCAGCCTCTTCTACCATTCCTGGCCCCCTCCATCCTTCTTTCCCTTTGGAATTTCACAAGGATATTAAATCATGGAGGAACCGTCTATCAAGGCGTAATGGAACTTTTTCATCGCGGGGTCATCCTGTTGGACTGCTGGCATCTGAGGCTTCCCCTTCAGCAGCTCCAGCCAGAAATATTGAGAACCGAGGGGACTGTTGTCCACCTCTGCCTCCGGTTTAGGATCATTATAGTGGCGCAGAATAAGTCGTTTGTTGAATCCCTCTTTCTTCAGCTTGGCTGCTTCTGTTTTGCTGTTCAAAAGAAAAGAATTTGAGACTTGGCTAATTGCTTGGTTTTATCAAAGGCTGGAGGATGGCCAATGGCTGTTCTAATGGGCTTTTTTATTTTTATTACTCACCTGAGGATATGTTCATTAATGAGAGAGAGAGAGAAACATCTCTCAGTTGCCTCTGCTCAGACCAGAGATGGGACCTGTAATCTAGGTATGTGCCCTGACTGGAAATTGAACCCACAACCTTTTGGTGTTTGGGACAATGCTCCAACCAAGGGAGTCACCCAGCCAGTGTTTAATGGGCTTCTTTTAAATCAAGATATCTGGATTTTGAAATCCTTAGCTGAGCATTTAAGGAGTACCTGCCATTTTTAAAGAGTTAATTGAGCACCCACTGTGTGTGAAGCACTATACCAGAGGCTGTAGGAACTGCAGGACTAGTAAGTAGCCTTTGTCCCCATAGGAGCAGTATGACACAGCACAGGCTTTGGATGAGAACCGGGATGAATCCTGGCACTGCCACTTGGGACCATAGAAAGTTAGCCAAGTACTAAACTATGAGCCTTGGTTTCTTCATCTGTAAAATATGGATAGCAATACCTCTCAGAATTGTAAGGAATCTCTGGTTAATGCAAGGACCTCAGTATTTAGCATGCACTCTATAAATATTAGTTGTTTTCATTACATTTTAGTGGGGATTATACATGTTTATTAATAATAAGGTGATAAAGAGGAAGATTAGGTAAATACGAAACAACCTCGCTTCTAGGTTTTAGACTAGACCCTGAAATTAAGGTAGCCTCTTAGAACATTCATTTAACCATCCACAAATATTCACTAGGTGTCTTCCACAGGCAAAATTCATGAGAAAGATGCTATCTATTTCCATTCTAAAGAGAGCGCCCAAGTTATGCAGCTGCATGGGAAAGCCAGGCTTCAGTGTATGCATATTCACTCCAAACTCTCTACTCGAATCTCTCCACTTCACAATACTATTTCCCACATTTCTAGTGTCAGAGCTGTGGGCACATTATGAAATGCAGACCCGCCAGGGCTCTGTATCTGAGGGTCAGCCATGAAGCAGACCTTACTAGTTCTTACCCAGCTTCCTACACACTCATGTACCCAAGTAGCAGGTAGTTGTTGGCAACATGCCAGTAGAAGCCTCCAGAGTCAGGCTGCCAAAGCAGGGTCATACACTAAAGAGACAGTCTTAGTTCTCTTGGAGACCAACACCACCTGCTTAATAGCCACATGGGCTTCTGGCTTGCTTTTACTCAGTAATCCCAGCACCAAAAGTGGGCTGCTGGGCTTCTCTATTATTAAGACAGAATATGGGCATTCAATGTGGGAAATCCATGATCAACACTAGAGAATTATCAGAAGTGTCAGGAATGTAACTAGGGGAAGGAGGAGCCACCTTCCCAGAGAAGAGTAAGCAGTTTGGACATTTCTAACAGCATCATAGAGTGGAACTCAAGACACACAAACAAGCCCTAGCTGGTTTGGTTTAGTGGATAGAGCATTGGCCCTCAGACTGAAGGGTCCATGGTTCGATTCAGGTCAAGGGCACATAGGACAGTTGCAGGCTCCATCCCCGGCCCGGTGGTAGGCATGCAGGAGGCAACCAATCGATGTGTCTCTCTCACATTGATGTTTGATATTCTCTCTCTGTTTTAACCCCTCCCTTCCACTCTCTCTAAAAATCAATGGAAAAACATCCTTTGGGTGAGAATTAACCAAAATAAAAAATAAACAAAATAAATAAAAAACCCAAACACACAAACAAGCAAATCTCAGTTAACAACATAAAAGAATGTATAAGGCTGCTCTCAGCAAGTCCTTTCAGATTTAGAGCAGATTCAAACATGAATCCTTGATGTTTTTATCTTAAGCTGCACTTGAAAATTCCTGAAATTGAGCTGGCATATCTCAAGGAGGGTCTTGGAATATTTGGAAGATATAGTCTGAATACGTGCACTTATCAGTTGAGTATGAGATCTGGGGTGTGGGAAGAGTTATGGTGAAAGAAGAGTTTTTAAAGGTTTAAAAATAAGTAATTGAAAATAATACAGCTGATTAATAAAAGGCGGGAAAGGTACAACAGCCACACCATTGTTGAGCACTGGGAGTGGGCATCCTAGCAATCATCAAGAGTCACTGGTTCTTCCAAGATGCAGGAGGGCATGCTTCCCAGTGAGCCTTGCGGGGAAGGAACCAGAGCCAGGAGGGTGGGCAAGGACCAAATCTGCCACTTTGTAGTTGGAAAATGGAAATGCTTAACGAACAACAGCTTTCTCTCTTTCCCCCTTTGTCTCTTCTCTTGCTTTCCTCCTCCTGCTGCTCCTTCCTTTCTTTCCCATATTCTCATGAAAACATATCCCACTGTCAAAAATGAGGTGAGTGGGCAAAATTATCGAACAATATGACAAAAGCAAAGCACTTATAGATTGCCATTCTTTCCCACACCGAAACATGCATGCCTCTCCATTGATAAGCATCAATGGTACAATATCAGTTTAACAACACACAATTATAATCCACTGGAAACACGAGTCTAATTACTATTCTCCAAGCCTAATCTTGGCCTTTCATTCAATGCCTAAACATGATTTTATTTTTCTGTGACTCTCCACAAATGAATCTTTTGGATTATTCTTAAAAGAAAGGTAAGAATGCCACTAAAGTGTAAATACCTATAATCATTGGGAGAAAAAAGGCACATTCCACATCCTTACCAATAAGACCAAAAATTAAGATAAAAAAGCTCCAGTGCAAAAAAACCCAACGCAAAATCTCTTGCATTCTATAAATGCCACATTACTTAAATAGTCAGAGTGGGCAGCTGTAATTCAGGAAAGTTCCCCTTTACCCTTTTAAAAGCAGTGCTTCCTTTTCTAAAGCGTCTTTTAGTCATTGCTTTAAGACTAATCAGCTTCCCATGCCAGCAAAGAGCCTCTTTTCTGCTTTTTCTCAAAATGTTGGCAGTGGCCATGGTCTTACTCTCTTCTTGCTTAAGGACCAGAAGTTGGCCTCTGGTTTTTCCAACAGGTGATGATTACCACCACCAAGTTGATTAATTCAAAAAAGCAGTCCTAACACTTGCACATTTCTCAAAAGTTTCAGGTGATGGTCATCCCCAGGAAAAGTCATTGCTAGGACTCAAGGACACAGTCCTTCTGTAAGTCAGATGTTACCCAATTATGCCAGCCCTCTGGTATTTATACCACTCTAAGACAGAAGCTGGAATAGAAAGGGAACTATACCTCAAATTACCTCAAATCTCATAGGCCTAAGAGTCTAATAGTAAGCTAAATTCCTTACGGTGGGGGCATCCACTGAATGTAAGAATTGAAGAAATGTTTGGAGAATACCTATTACCATTTTACAGATGAAGGAGCCAAAGTACAGAAAAAGGAATAATTGCTAAATAATAGTTACTGTTTAATGAGCATTTACTATAGCATATTTTTTTTATCCACACCTGAGGATATTTTTCTATCGATTTTTAGAGAGGGAAAGACAGATAAATATTGATGTGAGAGAAACACATCAATTGGTTGCCTCCAGCATGCGCCCTGACCAGGGCCCAGGTTGGGGAGCAGCCTGCAACTGAGGTACGTGCCCTTGACTGGAATCAAACCCAGAACCCTTCAGTCTGCAGATCAATGCTCTATATACTGAGCCAAACTGACTTGGGCTTTCCTATAGTATTTAGCTGTATTATTTCATTTTATGTTTTCAACAATCCTATGTGGCAGATTCTAGTAGGATCCCTGTTTTATATGAGAAAAGGAAGCTAAGTACCCCAAATCCCATGGTTGGTAAATGGGAGCATGAAAACTGTGTAGACTCCAATCTTGGCTCTAGACCTTCACAGACACTGATCCTTGTACTCTGGTCACACAGCTAAGGAATGACAGGGTCAGGGTTAGGAGCAAGTCTGCGATTCCCAGGGTAGTGCTTTTGCATCACCAGGTTCTACCAGTGATTATGAGTAAAATCAGAGCACTTAGAGCTTCACCAGGTAAGGCCCAGAGATCTGACTCAGGCTCAGACAAAAGGTCTAGGTAGACCTGTCTGGAGAATGTGCCTTGGGATCTGGTCTAGAATGGGAGGGTTCACTATGTTTGTTAGACCGGACTTCCTGTGATAAATCCAGAGTCTATATCAGTGTGGACTGCCACTGGGGTTAGAAAAAACTCTTTCTTTCTGCCTTTAATTTTCTTTGGATCTGACTTGATATTAAACATCTATAATGTCTGGGTAGCAAGTGTGGTAGAAATGTGGTAGGGTAAAAAGGCTGACAGTTCCGATTTGCCTAAAAATGCATTTCATCCAGCAAGCATACATTTAATCTCCATTGGTATCTCTAGCCCTGGTAACCAGGGGATGTTAGGATTCAGCTGCTTTGCTTGCAGAAATGTTTTATAATGCACAAAATGTAAAATTACCTGTATTCTTTTTAAAGCTTGGATTCTGTATATGACAGATCCTTTGGGAACTAATTCTACCAGCTTCAGCAATTCTCATTGTTAAAAACAAACAAACAAAAACACCACTCTCTTGCCATGGATGATTTGGCTCAGTGGATGGAGCATTGGCCTGCAGACTGAAAGGTCCTGGGTTCGTTTCTGGCTAAGGGCACATGCCCGGATAGTGGGCTCGATCCCCAGTGTGGGGCATGCAGGGGGCAGCCGATCAATGATTCTCTCTTCCTCTCTGAAATCAATAAAAACATATTAAAAAAACACACACACACTTCCAGTCCCTTGACGTTATTACTATGGGTCATACATAAAAGCACTTAACTCACCCCTGCTTCTTGTGTGCCAGCTAAATTCTCCTCCTCCATCTACACTGACTAGCTATCTCTACTTGGTTCAACCCACTGTTTCAAGAAACCATCTGAAGGTATTGGGTTATTATTTAAAATGCTTTCTATTTGCTTAGTGTGTTAGTGTCCACAAAGCATGTTTATATATATTGGGTTGCTTTAAGCTTCATAACAGCCTGCTA